TATGATTATTTAAATAAGAAAATGTATACTCATGCAATCTGGTAAAACAATTCTGTATTTTGCTTTCTTTTTTTAATAATTGCATGCGAAAATGTTGAAAATATCATTTCTATGTGTTTTCTTTTTTACGTTGGTTGAGGGGAAGGGGGAAAACCATTCCTCTCCTCAAATTGTACATCACTAATGTATGTTCTATAGAAAAAAAATATTGCTTCATGTAATACAACAATATTTTCAATACTAATGTATGTTGTATAGTTATAAAAGATTATTTTTTCTTTTTAACAATACATTTGATTATTGAAATAAAGATGACGTTATTTTTTGTTAGGTAGGGAGGGGGGGGGGGGAGAAGTGGTGCATTAGACTTCCTTTATTTAAAGTCAATGTGTACATCAATAATATATGTTGAATAGTAATAAAATATTATTTTTACTTGTTAACATTTAGTTATTGTAATAAAGATTTAATTATTTTTATTTTTTGTTATGCGTTGGGGCAGGGGCGGGGGGGGGGCGGTGCGACATACGCCCTTCCCTAAAGTTAGTGTGCACATCACTAATGTATGTTGTATAGTAAAAAAATATATTTTTACTTTTTAGCAAAATATTTAATTACTGTAATAAAGATTAAATTATTTATTAGAATGTATGATTATTGTATTAGGGTGTTATAACATCATAACCACATCTACGGCCAACTCTAAGATCACCTTATTTTGTTTGGCAGTGTTCTGGAATCAAGTTATGGCAATATTTTATGCATAAAATCTAACAATTACATTAAAAAAGTGCTTATTTTTGACAAAAACTTGTATTTTCTTAAGGGTTAGATGGTGTTTCATTACCCCCTCTGGCTCCCAAGATACACCCTACGTCCAGGCACCTATATGAACTTGTAGCCCATTAGTGCACCTATCTTTTGATACCAAGATATAGATATTTGCATAAAAATTGACAAAGTTATAATAATTTAAGTGAAAAAAATAATTATTTTGACCACAGTTTCTTCAACAATTCCATATATCTTAAATTTGGTACTAAAAACGTTATAACTTTTTTTAGAATTGTTCGTTTTTAATAATTTTTTCACCTTTAAAATACTGTATTAAAGGCCTTTCTAATGATATATAACATTGCACTATATGATTAATTTAAAAATTTCAGTGCGCGTACCTATTTTATATATATATATATATATATATATATATATATATATATATATATATATATATATATATATATATATATATGATATATATATATATATATACATATATATATATATATATATATATATATATATTATATATATATATATATATACATACATACATACATATATATATATATATATATATATATATATATGTATATATATATATATATATATATATATATATATATATATATAGTATATATATTTATATTGTGTATGTATATATACATATATAGTGTATGTATATATTATATATGCATATTATATATATGTATATATATATATATATATATATATATATATATATATATATATATATATATATATATATATATTATGCATATATAATATATACATACACTATATATGTATATATACATACATAATATAAATATATATAACGGATGATGTTTTACAAGATTTATCAAGCTTTTTTACCAATCCATGTGATTTAAAGAGTTTGAACATTTTTTATATTAAAAAATTTTTATTATATTTTTAAAGATTTTTCTTGTAAAGTTGTATAAAAAAGAATTTGTGCATGCTCCTTTAGTCCATGATATTGGTTGGTAGAAGGATCAACATAAAAATTTAGCAAATTTTAGCAACTGTATAATGTATCATAACGTACAGTTTAAAGTTGTATTTTTCTGTTAGCTATTTTACATAAACAAATTTTTAATATATAAGTATTTTTTCTATTATATTTTCTACTATACTTTTCCAGTTGAAAAAGTATAGTAGGGCATGCAAAATGTTTATTCGAGCTGTTTGGATAGAAAATACAGAGAAATAAAGAGAGAAAATTCGATTGATAATTTTTTGTGCTGGCCATCATCATTAAATTTATAAATTTTTTTTGGTTATGCATTTCATTACATTAAATGTATAACCAAAAAAAATTTATAAATTTAATGATGATGGCCAGCACAAAAAATTATCAATGCGGGTTATGCATTTCATTACATTAAATGTAATGAAATGCATAACCCGCGTCAAGCTAATACAGATTTACGCTGCTCAAAATTAAATGTCATGGAGATAATGTAATTTTTTTTTATATAAACCTTAAGTCATTACTTTTTTTCCTTGTTTTTTTAACATGCTTTCATTCTGTATATGTTGTTTTCAGTGTTTAGATATATTCTTTATTATATATTCTTTATTATATAATGTATTTAAAACATTTTTAAATTGAATGAATATTCTTAGATCATGAGTTATGTAATAAATTTGAATTTGCCTCTACTAGTGATACTCAGATAGAATCAGGTTCAGAAAATGATAACTATTTCAAAAGATATTTAATTCAAGTATTATTAGTTATATTTTGATATTAATTTTTATAGGAGCCACTACCATGCTTATGCAAGAGAAAACATAATAACCAACAGTATAGTAAGCAAATACCTACTCCTGTAACGCAAAAAAAGAAACAGAAAACAATTTTTATGCATACTCCACATACTGTAGCTCAAGGCAGGGTTGGCATTAAAAAACCCGCCCAAAAAAACCCGCCCAATAAAACCCAAAAAAACCCGCCTAAAAAAACCCAATAAAACCCTGGAAAATCTGGGTTTTATTGGGTTTTTTTAAAGATATTTAATAAGTTTATGAACTATTATAACCAACTTTAACATTATAACTATAATATTATTTACTAAAATAATTATTAACTATTTTTATTAACTTAATTATTATTAACTATTATTATTAACTATTATAACCAACAATAACAGCTATCAGAGCAGGTTTACTATTATTTGAATCATTATTTGGAAATACATTATTACAATTTTTATTCAAATATTTTTATCGATTGAGATTTTTATTACATAATGTTGTTCACCTCCCAAGTTGAATTTAAATGAGTAGTAGTGACCAGAGAAGCCAACAAAACAGTCGAGGAGGCTACCTTGTTGTGGTTACAACCCTCTCTCAACTCTTTTGCAGTAGTGGTGTTGTGGTAGAGCGCTCAATTCATAAGTGAGAGGTTCCGAGTTTGATCCCCACCACGTCCCTGGCAGTACCGCGCTCAACTCCTTTCTCCGCGCAGCGGCCTTGTTCGTCAAGGTTCATGTTTCGGAGTTATAGAGTTGAGAGAGGGTTATAACCACAAATAAGTAGCCTCCTCGCCTGTAGTGACCATAAGCTTTGAGGAGGTGAATTGATTTAAAGAAGAAAAAAAACTCTTTAACTCCTAAACACGAATCTTTATAAACAAGGCCGCTGCGCAGAGGAACAAGTTTGTTCATTTGAATTTCAAGTTCAAAGTTTAATTGAAACTTCAGTTACTACCTCCCATTTTCAAGCCTTCTTTTTCACATTTTCTCATTGACATTTTTAATTATATAAAATAATACTTTTAAATTTAAAATAAATCAATACATATAGATTTAGCGTGAAATTTTTTTTTCCTATTACAGTTTTAAATTATATTTAAAAATCTTTTTCAAAATAATTTGAAAAATTCTTGTTATAAATAATTAAACAACAATATATTAAATATATTTTAAATAAAGTTAAAGTAGAAAAAAACTAATTTTCAATATCAATAAACAAAAACACAAAAATTTTTTTTACAGAGACAAAATAAAAATTATACCCAAAAAAACCCAAATTTACCCAATAAAACCCAATAAAACCCAAAAAAACCCACTCGGCCGGGTTTTTTTAAAAAAACCCGGGTTTTTGCCAACCCTGGCTCAAGGTATTAATTGTCTGTCTGCAAGTTGATTTAGGAAGAAAAGATCTGTACATTTTTTTCTATGCTTCAGTGATTTACACATTTCTTTGGTTGCTAAATTAATACATTTTATTTAATTTATGAATAATGTTTTATTTTATAAATTTTTTGTTCTTGTGTTTCAACGCTTTTAGAAATTAATTAATGTTTGGTTCGTTTTTCTTTCTGATATATCTTTATTGTTAGAAAGAGTTGTTAGTAAAAACTCTTTCCAGTAATTAAAGTAATATCATGACAAATAGTTCTGAAATTCTATGGATGAACTTGCAGCAGTAATTTAATGATTATGATAACAGTTTAAATGATTCTTGGGTGAGGTCAGAAGTGATGGGTTGTTTCAAACCATGACTTTTTGCAGTTTTTTATATTGTTTTTTGATTAAGTATTTATTAATAACTTAGCCTAAGTTAATCTACTTGTAACTTTTTATAAATATACTATAAAAATAATGTGGTGTAATTATTTTCTTAAACCTTTAGGTTAACAAACTTTCTAAAATTGGAGGTAAAACCATTAAGACAAATACAAATAAATTAAGATCATGCGAGTTGTCTGGCTATAGCAATACATCAACTAAGCCATAACAGTTTTTATTGTGTTGCAAGTTGCACCATCTTGCATAAATATAAGATTTTTGACATTATTTTTAATTTTTTTTTGTCAATTTTTGACTTGTTTGGCTGGACATCAATCCCTCTTCTTTTAGCCTTCTACAAATGGTCCGGTCTGACACAACAATTACAGCTTCATGGATAAGCTTAGTGGCTTTTTTTCTCTTTTGCAGGCAGATATTTCTGATTATACTGTCCGCTTTTGATGTTTTCTTGCGTTTAGAAGATGGTCTCCTTGGACCAAACTCTTCCCCTGTATCAATTATTTTTCTTACTTGCATTACGGTTTCGTAAGAAACCTTTGCGGTTTGTGCAATTTTTTATTGAGAATAATTTGTATTTTGTAAAAGACATGTTTATCAATTTTTAATGTAACTATAATAATAATAACAATGTATAATGCAGGTTGTTAACCAATGGTTTATAATCAAAATTTAATATGGCTGGCGGTAAAGGTAAAGAGAAGTTTAAAGGAACAAACATTAGGTATTTACTTGTAAGTTATGTGTAAAATTATATATTTTTTAAAAATCACAGTTCGTTTTTTTAATGCTAATTTATTTTTTTAACTTTTTGATGTATTTGATGTAAATTACTCAGGCAATACCTTTTTTATAGAGAGCGTTTTGTCAATTAAAATGACTGCTACAGTTGCCGAAATAAGAAAATGAATAATGACTCGACAGATCAGATGGTGGTGGTCGGCGCGTAAAAGGCGATTCACCCGATGTATAAAATTCATACTTTTTTCTAGTTGTTCTGGAACTATTGATAATAGTTATTATTGATAAATTGATAAATATATTACTGATAAACAAAACTTTTTTTTTTCAAACATTTTACTTTATTTGCATTGTATATAAAGTCCGTTGAAGCAATTTAGTTGTATCTGATTAATTTACGTGAAGTATAATATTCTTCGCGCAAATTGTTGCTTTTTTATTGTGTTAATTTATTGCAATTAAAGTTGAGATAATTTTTTAGTTAATTGGATTTAACCTAAATAAAAAACAAAAATCAACGTTGAATTTACGTTGTTTGAACGTTGTTCTAACGTCTTATCAACTACGTATCAATCGAATATATCACCTATTCAAAGTTGAAATATGGTTGATATGTAGTCGATAAGACGTTAGATCAACGTTGAAACAACGTAATCATCGACGTTGTTTCAACGTCGTAGTTTTCGACGTCGGATTTTATTTCCAATTCAACCAAATTTCAACGTTGTTTCGACGTGGCATATGGTCGGTTTACGACGTTGTTTCAACGTTATTTCAACGTCATTGTGCCTGCTGGGTTAGAGTTTTTAGTTAACGGAATTTCACTTTATGTTTACTATGATAATACGAAGATAATATAATACAGGTATTATATTTTTACGAAGATAATATAATACAGGTATTATATTTTCACATAGGTAAATTTTTTGCCATTCTAGACTGAGCAATGCTTTTATTATGTATTAGCTATCATTTTTATAACCTGGCCGGATCAGTTGTGTCGCAATATTCTTGGGGACCCATAGACAAAACACATACTATAAATGTAATTTTATTCAAGTAACATCTCTGCTCATGTAGGCGTGAGTGGAAATGAAATAAAATCATATTAAACAGCGCATAAGAAAAAATAAAAGAGAAAGAGAGAGAGGAACATATATGTAGCGCATTTAATTCGTAGATCAAATAAGTAAGATAATTGCAACAAAACTGTTTCTTTCGTGATTTAATTGCCACAAACTAACAGATACATTTCGGGAGTTAGTAGAATTGATCTGAACAGGACTTTTAGAGCCTAATGTTAAATATCTAGATAAAGAAACTTTTTGTATTGTTTACTCTTTGTGTATTAACTTTAAATTTAATTTAAATATATAAACCTAATAATAAGTCTTGGGCAACACAAATCAAACAGTTTCTTTTGATGCTCACTGTTTTTTTTAAATGATTTTTTACTCAATGTGGAAAAATTTGTTCCAAGTTGTCCAGAAAACTATTTAAATAAAATATCAACTGTATTTTATTAAGTTATAACATTAAAAAAAAATATTTTCTATAAGCTTGCATTAAAAATAACTTTTTTAAAAATGTTTTTAAAACCTAGTTTTAAGAATCTATTACTTATATGTGTGTCAAATTGAAAATTCAAAGATTGGAAAAATCTTTGAAATTTTATAATTGTAGCAAGTTGCTTTCTTGATATAGACCATGTAATTTCTCACTTTACACCGTCTTAAAGCTTTCTTACATCTTCTAATCCCTTAAATTAAAAGAATTAAATTGATTAAAAAATAGCTAATCAAATTTTAAAACTTCGATATTTTGAATTTTTTTTTTAAATCTAAGCTTGTCTATTTATACTTAGCCATACTAAGTTACGTCATGACCCATTAAAAGTTTATTTTTTAACACTTTACTTGCAAATAATAATAATAATAATTATAAAAACATCCTTAAAAAACAATTAAACACTAAAAAGATTAAAATAAAACGTTAAAAATAAAAATGAGGTTATCTCTTTAATAAACCCGTGTCATTTTAGAATTATAAACTAAAGCTTTAATGTATTTTTTTAGATTTATATTGATATTTCTAGATTTATCTTTTTTATACCTTCAAATATCTTATGCATAATCTAAAGCATTTTGTATTTTGTAAAGTAAGATTGATCCTTTTTATACGATCGTTGCTTTTGATTGTGTTTTACCACAGAAATAAGTTTGGTATTTATATTTCTAGATTTAATGGTTTGCAGTTTTATAGCAAAAGATTTTGCCAATAAGGCCATAGTAACTTGGAAGTTTTTAAAAATACCAGCAATGAGAGTATCTTTTCAGCTCTGTGAAAAAACCGTTATGTTATCCAAGTCTACACGTCATAATTACATTGGTATCATTGTCGTATCTTTGTCTTTGTGTATTGTTCAGAGTTCTAATAATATAAAAAAAGGTTAGTAAATTTTATTGAAACGTGCGCGACTAAATCTTAATTAATTAATTAGTTGATTTACCGAGAGGAACAGTTGAGCTTTTTGAGAAAGAAAAAAACTCATAAAGCTTATTAGCATACATCTTTTTCTGAAAGTTACAGCTGTGTGCTATACTTGAGTATTTTGTGGAGTTTAGAATAGCAAAAATTTTCTTTTATTGTTTTTGGCGCTCCTAGAAAATTCAAAAATGCATTTGTATACCTTTTACATGTCCTTCAATTTTACAGGCCCTTCATGCCCAGGAACTTTGCCGAATAAATTTGGTCCTTAAAAACAAATTTTTCGGTTAAACGTTTGTAACGATTTTTATTTTTAATTGCGAATTTATTTTAAACTCTGTTATCAGCACGTGGATTTTTTCGGTGTAATATTTACTATAACTGTATCATATAAACATATTAAATTATATTACCATATTATATACATATATAAATATAACATATTATATATACAAATACCAAAGTGTTATTGAAAATTTAAGTTACTTATCTAATTAATTGTACAATTTTTCAATTGATTTTTTCGCATGACTTAATGATTAAGTTAATCATTCTATTTGCATTATTTGTAATCATTCTATTTACATTATTTGTTGCAGTATTTGTAAATATTACTTACTATGTAAGTGAAAAAGTAAATATCCTTGATGTGCATTTTTATTCAGAATATATTTGATTTGATTTGTTTTGCAGCAATAACTTGATCTTTCATAAAAACTTGTTACTTGAAGTTTTTAGGGGGAAATAAACCTAGATTTTTTATATTCTTTTATTGTGAGAATTTTATAGCAATAATGACTATTTTTTAAAATACCTTCATATTGCTTTATTTCACAGTTATACTATAACAGTGTATTAAAGCATTATAAAGTTATTAAAAAAAATTATTTATAATATAAAATTCTCAGAATACTGCCTAAAACTTATAAGTTATAAGTTAGCAATTAAATGCAATTATTTAAGAGGATATTATCTCATTTTAACAAAGTGATTTAAATGCACCATCTAAATAAGCATAAGACTTGCTTTTAGTGTTTACTGCATATAAGTTAAAGGCAGTTTTCTGTTATAATATTATACTATATTATCTTTATTATTCATGGTTTTATCTACAATAATTTTACTTCAGATATAGCTATATTTTCTAATAATGCAATTGTATACTCCAGTTTTACAAAAAAGTTATATTTTTATTGCTTAAAAGAAGCAGGCTATCTACAAAGTGGGTTTTCTTCTCCTTCACATAAGGGTTGCAGTGACCAACAAATTTTAATTTTACAATACTTATATGTTTAATGCTTATAGTTATTCAATATTGTTGATTATTTTTACTTTTTACTTTTTTTATGTTTACTTTACATTTTCTTAAATTATTTTTATTATTCTTATTTTGATTCATGACAATTCTTGTTTAGTTCTTTACTTTACATTTTCTTAAATTATCTTTCACTAATGAACTTGTATGGATATCATACATTTAATCAACTGTTTGGATATCATACATTTAATCGACTGTTAGCATGTGCAATAGTTGACCTTTTTGTGATCCCCGATTTTTTCTCATCATTCCGTTTTTTTTGCAAATAGTTTTCTTGACTCATAAAATAAAATCCAATAATAACCACCTCTTACCTTAAATGAGTGAGACAATCACCTCTAACATTACGTGAGTGTGACAACCACCTCTTACCTTCCCAAAAAAACAACAACAACAAAAAGTAAATGAAAAAAGACAACAAATCTATCTATGTATGCATACTCTTTTGAACTTATCTCTATAAAAACTGTTTATCTACAGTATTAGCTATAAATAACAATCCAGTATGTTTTTTTTGATATTATTGGACTATGATTGATATTAAATCAATGATTGTTTGAATTGTTTGACCTTTTTAAATATAAAAAATTTATAGTGAGCATTTTATTTTCCTTAAAATAAATATAGATATTCATAAAAATATTATTTGATGTACTAATGATATATTCCTTTTTTTTTACATATATCTCATAATCTCGTAAATTTTGGTCTATGAGCATGGGCACAACTTTCTTTTCAGAGATGAAATAAACTTTTAGGTTGATTTAAGAAAAAAACAAGTAGTGTTGAGAAAAAAGCCACTTAAAAAAATGGACCCAAATTGTTCTACATATAAAACAAAACATGGTAGTGGTAGTATAGGCATCTGGGCCTGCATGAACTAGGAAGGTGTCCGTTGTTTCAAACCATTTGATGAAAGGCTTGATTCTCAAAGGTATTTAGACATATTGGATAATTATTTCATGCCTTCTATTGACATTTTTCCAAAAGACAAAAATAAATTTGCTAGCAATAGTTTGAAGAAAACAACATTAAAACCATGTCTTGGCCTACCAATAGTCCAGATCTTAATTATCTAGAGAATTTGTGGTCTGGGTTAAACCACAATTTTGGTAAAATTAAAATAAAAGATCTGGACCAGTTAAAAGAATTAGTAGCAAAAATACTGAATAGTGTTCCAAAATGAGATTACTCAAAATTTAGTGAATTCCATGCTGTGAATACTTAAAAGCAAAAGGATTGTCAACAAAAATTAATGTGTGTTTTGCAAGTGTTTTTTTATTAAGATTTGTTAATTTCGTTTTTGTGGTTTGTTCATTTTGGCCACAATTTTTTTTTTGATACAAATGAACTCTTGTTTTAATTTCAATATTTTATTTTTTTAATTATTTTAATTTTTATCATTTTATTATAAATTTATATTTTGATTATTTGATTTGTTTCAATAAAAAAAAAAAAAACTTCAGAAAAATCACTTTTATTTTATTAATTATTTAATTTCAAACTTATATTCATACTAAAATAACTTGATGGATTGTTATTAATATGTAAAGAACTGTATTTCTAGTCTTAATGTTTTTTTTTATTTCTATTTAGATTTAAGTGTGTAATAATGTTAGCAAGAGGTCAAGGAACAAAAAAAGTTATTGATTTTTTAAAATCTATTAGAAAATACAATATTACTACTTTGCCTATTCAAAGAAAAGGTAAATTTCTTTACCCAATTATATTCACTACAAGTGTTGGAGTAGTATCATTTGTTGGATGTGCAATCCTTCAGTATGAAAGATCTCGATATCAACTTCTAGAAAAATCTAAGTTAACTGACAAATTTTCCAGAGGTCATGGAAACAACAAAGCATTAATTTTCCGTAATAAGCTTAATGAATGGTGGAATAGATTATCTTACGGACAAAAAGTTACTGTATGTATAATTTCACTAAATACTTGTGTATTTTTATGTTGGAAAATTACCCCAGCACACAGATTTATGAAGAACTGGTTTCTTTGTTCACCCACTAACAAAAGATGTTCACCATTGTTGTTATCAGTGTTCAGTCATTCTGAAGCATGGCATTTCTTTACTAATATGTTTGTCTTGTGGAGTTTTTCACCACTCATACAATCAGTTCTTGGCACAGAGCAATTTTTGGCATTTTATTTAACAGGAGGAACATTTGCTTCTTTAATTAGTCATTTTTTGAAAGTATCACGTGGAATAAGTGTTCCATCTTTAGGTGCATCAGGAGCTTTGCTTGCAGTTTTAGCTTTGTGTTGCATTGAAAAACCAGAATCTCGTCTCTCAATTGTATTTTTACCTTTTTTTACTTTCTCTGCAGGAACTGCACTGTATGGTATTATTGCATTAGACCTAACTGGTTTAGTTTTAGGATGGAAAGTTTTTGATCATGCTGCTCATCTTGGAGGAACTTTATTTGGTGCATGGTATATTTTAAATGGTCATAAGTGGACCTGGGATAAACGTGAATTAGTGCAACAATGGTGGCATAAAGAACGTAAACGGTTTATTAATTGAAATGAATATTTTGTTTAGTAAAAATAGGTACTGTAATTAGCTTATGTATTTATAATTTGTGTTGCTTATTGGATGGATGACTTATAGTTTTTTTTTTTTATATTCAAAATAAATCTAATTTTTCTCAAATATCAATTTTTCAGTTTTAAAATGGCATTGAATTTTTTTTAAAGTTTTGAAACATTTTTGTAGAAAATTTTGATTTTTTGAAAATTTTTTGATAAATTAATGAAAGAAACTGATTAAGTGCAAATTTTTTAACTGCAAGCTTGCACAAGTTAGAGAAACCTGGTTCAACTTAAGTCTGTAAATATAAACTGACATGTGTGTTAAACAACCTTTTAGACACTGGTGTAATTGCTAACTTTTTTGTTTGTTTGTGAACTTATTTGAAATTCTTTTTATTTCAAACTAGTTGTCAAACTATTTTCACATGTTAATACTAGTTTGCAGTTTGACATGGTTCTGCAATGAGTTTGCATTTACACAGATTGGCACCGATTTCCCACATTTGACTGTTTGCAGTTAAAGTATTTGCTTGTTAGACATGTCAAGCTTTTTTTTGGGATAATAGAAGATTTTTTTATAATTGTTTATAAATTAATTTTTACTATGTCAAGTTATGTTAATCAAGAATTTTCAACTAGAGATGAAATAGCAGAATGTATGTATATATATATATATATATATATATATATATATATATATATATATATATATATATATATATATATATATATATATATATATATATATATATATATATATATATATATATATATATATATATATATATATATATATGTGATTTTGCTTTTTCAGTTAGGCAAAGGTTGCATGATTTTCCTCGGGGTTTAAACGGATGCGCTTTGTCGATAATTTTCCATGTGATAATAGATAAATAGAAACTCGGAGTCATGTTTCTTTAACTACCGGGTGTTATTATTTAATTTTTAAAGAATTTAATTCGCCCTACTCTATTAAGCACACTATACCGGTATTTATCAAAACAATTATTATATATATATATATATTATATATATATATATTTTATTTATATATATTATTTATAAAAACACCTGTATGTATATATATATATATATATATATATATATATATATATATATATATATATATATATATATATATATATATATATATATATATATATATATAAATATATATATATATATATATATATATATTGTGTGTGTGTTTATATTTATATATGTGTGGAAGGGTTATTCTAAACCGTTTTTGACAGTTTCAACCGTATTTGGGTGCCCACCAAATTAAAATTTGAGGACCTTTTTTTTTTTTACATTTTTTACAGCAAATATTGTTTTTTTTCCCAAAAAAATGCTGGTTTTCCGCTAAATTTTTGCTAAAACCGGGGGTAGGGGCATGTACTGGCGCCAAAATTTTTTTTCTAGAATAGCCCATGGTGTGTATATATAACATACACACAGTACATTAGTTACATTCAAATATTTTATTAGGTTTTTATTATTTTTGTTTAGATTAAAGGAATGGAGGCTCTTTTTGTTTTTTTTGACTTAGAAGCATCACATGCTGATAAATATTTTGGTGATATTATTGAAATTGGCGCACAGGTTGATCCTCGTTTGATGAAAAAAAAAGTTTTTCAGAGTCTTATAAAAACTGACCAGAAGTTATGTTATTTCGGTATGCTTTAGTTTTTTGATTTTTTTCTTATGACCAAAAAGATCTGACTCAATATTTATAGCAAAAGAAGAAGAGTAAGAAGTCACAGGGGTAGTCATATTTGGCAGGGGCCAGGGCTGGGGCCAGGTTTGATAAAATATAGTCGAGGCTGAGGCAGGGTTTGTGACCAGGGCTGCATAAACATTTATACATCTTAAAGTATATTTTTTTATTCAAAATTATTTTATTAAATCATCATCATCATCATCATCATCATCATCATCATCATCATCATCATCATCATCATCATCATCATCATCATCATCATCATCATCATCATCATCATCATCATCATCATCATTGTCATCATCATCATCATCATCTTTTGGCAAATACTAAACCATATAAATAAAGTTTATAAAAATATGTAAGGATATTAAATGCCAGCATCTAAATAAATAGCAAACATATATGTTTATATCTATAATATGTATGCATAAAGCGCATCTCGGAATCTTTTATTCCTTCTGGAATAAAAGTTTGGAAGCTTTTATTCCTTATCTTCAATTTTAAGTCAAGTCTCATTCTACTCCACATTTTTTACCATCTTGAGCAGTTGCTTTATTAAACATTATTCATTTTTTTTTACAAGAACGTCTCTCTTAAGAACAAATGTTCTTTCAATAAGCAATGTAAAAAGGTCCTGTCTGATGTTAAGCTCTTTTATTATCTAATTCTTGTATCTTATCTCAGATGTTAGGTTCTAGAGACTTTTGGTTAGTCTTCAACAGTGTCATTAACTAAAGTAAGTCTAACATTTAAGCTCTATTTCAATGGTCTGACCTTTTTACTTCTCCCCAGAATAAAGCAGAGTTATTTGCAAAGAAATCTTACTCTAATTTGAAAAAAACTCTAAATCTAATGGCCATACTCTTTCCGCCAGTTAAGCAGATTAACCCATTCTTAAACATCAAAATCACTCTGGCCTCCAATGCTAAAGTTAATTCTTAATTAAACACTTCTACAGTTTAGTACAATTAGTACTAACTGTAGAAGTCCTACCATTAGTCTTTACTCTGTTATTTGTATAAAGGTTTTGAGATTATTAAATTATTTCTTTCTAACTACAGTATTAAAGTTATTCTTGAAGGCCTACACTCTTCTTTATTTAAAGTATCTTTACAGGCCTTGTGATGAATAAAAACTGTGCGACGCATATGCACGACGTGATTTTTGACGTCATTAAATTCTTTTTATTTGCTTTTCATATTTATCGACATTAACTGCACCAATTTACTTAATTACTACTTTAAAACTACTTTAAATTATTAATGTAGAAATGTTATTATTTAAAAATGTTTTGGAATGTTTCGTTTTTTAAAATGTAAAAACATTAGTTTATGTTCATGACCTTTGACACGTTTTGTCTATACTAAATGAATAAAAAACATTATAACTAAACATTTAAAAAAGATTATAAGATATGCTAATATTTGATTTTCTTTTTCTCAAATATGTAATTTAAAGTTTTTCAAATATTAATTTTTTCTTTTTAAAAAGTCAGCGAGTAATAAACTGGAAATTTTAATTTTGTACGATTAAAAACTGTGCAATAGCTAATGTTTTTACTAGCGACTTTATATAATATTTTTTTATTTATTTACTTTTATTTTCATAAAGCAGTTGATAAGCACAATCACTCGTATTACTAAAAAACTTTAACGAACATTTTGAATAGATTTTTAATGTTTACAAGGAATTTTATTTTTGGTAAAATAAAATAAAATGTTAGAATAAAAATCTTATAGGTATAAAAGACATATTTCAGTGAAAAAATTATTCTAAAAAATTATTCGAAAAACTATTGACGTTCTAAAAAGTTTAAATCTTTTTAAGCTAACATTTTTATAAAATTATTCAGCAATAGCAAAGTTGTTGATAAATTGAACAAAAATACTTTCTTTAAGTTTTAGATTTTTAACTTAAATAATTATTTTACGAGGGTTTGTTAGGTTTAGGAGCTGTTCTTGAGCGCGCTTCGTTGAGTTTCTGTAACTTTTAACAAAAAAGCGATTGTTATTAAGTAATTTTTTTCGAGTTACTTTTTACAAAAATTTTAATAGCTGTACTTTTTTATTGAATCAAGTAGAATACGTTTTAATATTAATCCTTTTTTTTTTTTTTATTTGCGCTTACCAATTTTTAAAATGTTTACTTGAAATTACTCTTAAATACTTTAAATACATCTAACAGTTAATAAATATTTTTAAATCTATGGAATAATTTTAAAACCTAACAAACCCTCGTAAAATAATTATTTAAGTTAAAAATTTAAAACTAAAAGAAAGTATTTTTGTTCAATTTATCAACAACTTTGCTATTGCTGAATAATTTTATAAAAATGTTAGCTTAAAAAGATTTAAACTTTTTCTTTAATCTGAATTTTTTCTACTTGTAAATAATGAGCATATTTAATTTTTTTGTAATTCAAACTTTCATGTCAACTGCGTGCGGTTTTTAAAATACTTTATTAAATGTTAAAATAATCGAAAATTACTTCATTAAAATTCCGCTCTAAAATATTTTAAAATATACTCAAACAAAAATTTTTTTGCTTGACGCAAATAGCCCTAGCTACACGCAAAATCGCTCTTGGACGACATAAAATTCATCGCCCGACGCTTTATCGCAAGGCCTGTCTTTAAAGGTACCACAAAGTGCTATCTTTTCTCCTGTATTTTTATCTACAATATCAATCTTCATGAAAATTTTAAATATAAAGTGGCTTTATTTGCTGACGACTCAACTTTTTATTCTTGTCTTTGCAAAAAATCTTTACTATTTGATTGCTTAGAACAAGATCTCAGATCTGCAAGTTAGGTTAGGTTCTGTTTAGTAAATGGTCAAATTTAAACCGGGGTTAAAATTTGACCAGGGCCAGTGTTGGGCCTGATCAAAGTTCTTGTTTAAAAATAGCCGGAGCTATGTTTAAAATTAGGGGTGCATAAATATTAAAAAAAATTCATGTAATATATATATATATATATATATATATATATATATATATATATATATATATATATATATATATATATATATATATATATATATATATATATATATATATATATATATATATATATATATATATATATATATATATATATATATATATTCATGAAGACCTTAACAGGAATAGTGAGCATTGTCCGCTCCTGCTTTCACACCCCACAGTGGTCCAGTACCATGTCATAAATACAAAAACATAGTTTGTTTTATAATAAAAACAATTTGAAAATTGAATTATATATAGTATGTGAAAACCAGATTAAAGTTTTTAAGGTCTGTTATTAAAAAAAAAATTGTCTAAAAAGGGTTTGAAGTTCAAAAATTTACACTAAGTTACATTTTTTCGGTCATAAATCAGTCTGCAAACTTTTATACATTCTCACTCCTACCAATGTCACAGATATACCAATTTTTTAAAATATTCTTATAAAATATGAAGGATCAATATAAAATAATTTAAAATTTCATAGAAACGACAAATTACCGCATGTTTAACACTTTTTTTTTTTAAATTGTTTGAAAATAAAACTTTGAACAAACAGGAAAATCTTCGCCCAGGTTTGCCCAGCTTGAAAATTTTTGCGTTTGAAAAAATGATGTTTATAGAAAATTTCTGAAAAAGTTTTGGCTGCTTTTGTTTGCTTTTGTGTCTATAGGGTAAGTTTAAACATGACATACTTAAACTAAAATATGGCTCCCCCTCACACTCGATATTTTTTAACAAGTTTCAACTGCGAATATGAATAGCGAATATTCTAAAATAACAGCGGAAAAGACAAATAAATAAAACAAGAAATATTCACAAATATTTACAGTAATTATTTAGTGCACTAAATACCTTTCACTATAGTGGTGAAATCAAATTTAAATATAAAGAACAAAGACATTTTCAATTACATAATTAAAGGAAAATATGATAATAAATATGAAAGTTTAATTAGCAAGAAAGCGAAAAACTCTCAACAAGGTCTAAGAAAAGAAGATCTTCAGAGATTACTGAAAAGTTAGGAGTTGCTACTGAAAGCCTATTTCATGCCCTTATTCTTAATCTAAATAAAGAAGGAAGAAATAAAGACGCCAAAGTTATAAAACATATGATGGAAAGTAAATTTGATGGGTCCTGCAATGTATCATGCTCTAAAGTCTACTTAGCTGAAGAAGCTTTAGCTTTGATGTTAGACTGTAGAATGAGTTGGGCTGACTATCAAACTATTGGTCAAGGGGCCTTAGATAAAGGTTGCATGTTATAACCTGCCTACAACTTTATCGTGAAATCTAAAAGTGATTTTATTCCAGATTCCGGAATTGTTACCACAAACTATAGTGCTTCTGTAAATCTTCAAGGAATAATGGATCACACTACAAACAGGATTTGGAAAGTTATTGATATATCAAAACTACCTGACCCTTGCCATACTCTTCTTCTTATAAGCAAAGTCGGATTCGATGGTTCAACTGGACAGTTTGTTTATAAATAGAGAACTGAAGATGAAGAGGACAGATTGTCAGTCTCAGTTGAAGAATCTTTGTTTCTTTTATGTACAGTACCTGTGCAACTTAAAGTTCAGGAAACTAATGTTATTCTTTGGACTAACCCCAAAAACATCCTCAACCCAATATTTGTCGCCCTGTTTGAATGCAATACGTTAAAGAAAATCAGCAAATTGTTTAAGCAGAATATGTTTTTTTTATGTCAACTTAACTCAGAACAACAACTATAAGCTTATTTCAAGTCAAGCACAAGTTAGAATGTACTATGATTGATGGAAAAGTTTCCACTCTTCTTTCTCCATTAACTGATTCTTAGCAAGTTTGCAATATATGTGGATTAAATACTAAAAAAATGAATGACTTTGTAATTACTTATAATAAACAACCTAATCAGATGTCTTTGGACCTGGGAATCCACACTCTCCATCTCTGGATTCGTTGTTTTGAATGTCTGTTACATA